ACGATGAGCTGTTAAAGGATCAAGTCAATAACTTCTGAGGATAACCCACTAATATTATAGACTGCTAGACAATGTTAGATTGTTTAGCTGAATTCAAACACCTATAGTATTTAGATGCCAATAGAATATCCACCTCTGACAGGACAAAAAAAAAAAATTAAAAAGGAAAGATCATTTGTATTTATATATACAAAATAGGATAGATATACAGATACTTTTACTTAATTCAATGAGTAGAAAGAGGTGTACTACTAGTGTTTGGACAGGATATCCTGTCTGCTTCATGTACTATGGATAAACACTAAGAAGATAACAATGTACAATGTATTGATTATCGAAACTGTCCTATTAATCGGCTTTGAAACTGTCTCATTCATATTTATTTCTCAATTTAAAAAATGCTGCAAAAAAAAAAGAGAAAGCAGAAAAAAAAATATATCACCTAACAATAAAAAAAGAAAGGAAAAAGAAAATAAACTTCTCCAGAGAGCCTGATTTCTCCATCTTTCATGTCATGGAATGGTAAAAGTCACATTCCAGGATTAGTGGGAAAAATGAAACTGTCTATACAGCAGTTGACACAAAGAAAAAAAGAAGCAGGTGAAGTTCCCTTGGCACCATCCCCTTAGAGACCTGGCCGCCAGCCCTTCTTCCATCCTCTCTTTCTTGGGTCTTTGTAGTGAAGTACTCCAGGAGAAGACCATCTACATAATCTTCACTTCCTCTCTACACCCTCAGCAGTTCCCCATATTAAGTTTCACTCGCTTGTTTTACTTCTCTCTAAACACATCTACAAATCTTTCTGAGGTCCATTTTACTGTTCGGAAGTCTTCTTAAATATAAACATTGGGCAAAGCACAGGTTTCAGTGCTCATTGTACCATCAACGCCTTCAGCCAAACACCAGCAGGACACTGTTTTGTTAAACATACTGTGTTAATTACTCCTTGCAGGGAAGAGACCACACTGTGGTGGGTGGGCTGTGGACAGCTCATTCAGTGTGGGAAAGAAACTAGTACAGGATTCTGGCTTCAGATCGGCAGTCTGAGAGAGGACCTAGGGAACTGAGAGTTTGCTTCAGATTAGAGGCTCTTAAACGCTTGGACAATTTATGATTAAGTCATTTGTAGAAAAAGATGGATACACATTGACTAATGTTAAGTAAAATAAATCGGACACACAAGTTTAAATAGCATAGAACTTCTCTCACTTGAGCAATACAAAATACAAATAAAGAGCAAAACAGAAGATTGATAAGAGGAAAGCGGGGAGATAGATCTTTCGCAAGTGGGAAAGGGTCCAAGAAACAAGAAGTCAGGCGAGGAGGGAGGGAAGGGACATAAAATGCAAAAATGTGTCACAAATGCCCTTCAGATAGCCACAGTGAATGTCATGATCATATGTCTGAAACATGAACTAAAACTAATAGCAATAGTAATGAAAATGGGGAAAGGTGATCTAGAAATGGAGAAAGGGAGGTGAGCAGGGAGGGGAAAGGGAAAAAAAGAATCAAGACACGTGAGGTACATTTACCAACTCCCTAAATTGAATGTAAACTTCATGTACTTTAAGCATAAGCTAATAAAATAGAAAAAGAAATAGCAGTCATTCATACTTGATATTTTGTGGATTTGGATTTTTTTTTCCCCTGTACTTAAAAATTATGAAGTGGCCTTACGGTGTTTCATTCTATCAGTTTCTTAGAGTAATGTTTGGGGCTGGTCCTCTATGAGCTTGTTTCACTCCAATAGGAGAACAACATGGTTTAGCTGTGGGTGAGACACCAGGTACAGGTTGCCAAGGGCTGCATTTTCTCATTTGTTGGTTTTCTTTCTCTGACTCTGTAGTCCTATTCCCTTCTGACATACCCAGGAGCTGGCTCTCTGGCACTTCAAAAGACGAGTCTCTGCTGTGCTACCAGTGTGCATGGGCAGCTCAGGCAGAAGTGGAAGCCAGCGGCCTGATCTCTGGAAAGCCGGGCCATGGCAAGGGGGACTTTTGAAGGTCGTTGGATTGAAATTGTTAATTACCTATATGCCACAGTGACACTGTTTGAGAGATTGGTATGAAATACCAAAATTACCAGAAAAAATCAATGAACATTTTTGTGTGTGAGCTGTTCCGGTACAGGCAATGTTTTCATAAATGCGTGCAAGGTGAACTGCCTTATATCATTGTAAATGTACAAGGGAACTCTGACATATCATAGGGCTGTGTTTTATCTCCCTGCATTATTCCATTTTTAGTCACTGAGATCCTTAAAAATTGAAGTAGCAGTGGCTGGAGAATGTCTACTGGCCCCTAAAACCCTGGAAACATAGTGGAATTCTAGTTTTCAATGATAAATAGATTTATTTTATGAGGCCTTAAGAGTGTGTCTCCTCTTTGTTTGGTGTTTTCTATAATTTAAGAGTGCTGTGATATTTTGTTGTATTATTTTTCCTTATCTATACATGCAGGTGTAATATCTTTTAATGCTCTCCCAGCTACTATTCATAACTATAAAAAAATGCTAACAATTTAATCTGAGTTTCCTTCATTGCAAGAAGCCATCATCAAAATTTCTTAATAATTTATAATAACAACATTTCACTAACCCACACAGGAAACCGCAGAGCTAAAAATAAGATTTAAAGTTATTTCTTTTCATCTGCATTTTTACTTATTAAGTTACTTTAACTTCTGCCAAAGTTCTTTAGAACAGATTTCTAAGGTCTTTCAGAAAAAAAAAAAAAATTCTTCCAAAAAATTTAGGAAATCTAAGTGGGAAATTGAGACCTCTAAATGCTGGCTGGCTGACTTTGGTCATTACTCCAAGAATCTTCTCTAAATCCTTAGTTACCTATGCAAAGCCCAGTGTCCCTCTCTGTTAAATGACATGTGGTCTACCAGCTGCCCAGCACACGTGCTTCTGTTTCCCTATCCAGGGTTGAAGTTTTACTTTGATAAAGCTTGCAATCTTATCAATGTGACAACATTCTCTGGAAGACAGTCTCCTGACCATTAGACACATCAACAGTTTTTCCGCCTTGAACACCAGCCACAGCCTTCTCAAAGATCGTTGCCCAGCAGGGGAGAGAAAGGGCAGAAACAAGCATCAGAATGTGTCACTTGAGAGCACCTGGGGCGCTGACAGCCTCCAGAAAGTGACCTGAATAAGCAGTAGTGCCGGGCTTGATGGTGTCAATGGTGGAGGAGACACAGACCTGCCAGGTACAGAGCAAAGGTCCCATGAGTACAAAACGTCACTGCCCACCACTTTCCCAGGTGCACCTCACTACGATTGCTAGAAACACCCATCAAGAGCAACTGATGAATGGGCTGAATGTCACCAAAGAGTGGGCTCTTAGCATTGCAGGAGAGCAAGAAGGAAAGAGGGAGAGAAGGAGGGAGGGGAGGAGGAGTACTTCAGGCTAAAGGGCACTACCACCATGAGGTCACCTAGCCCGCTGCCTGTCTTTCTAAATGCAGTTCTATTGGAACACAGTCACCAAGCTCATTCACTTTTGGTATTGTCTTGGTTGTGGTTTACAATGGCAACACCAAGTAGCTGTGACAGAAACCATACTGCTCTTCCTTTCCCCAGTGCCTACACTATTTACTACTAGGCCCTTTATAGAAAAACCTCCTGCCTCAGGGCACCCTCAGTCCTGCCCTATGGGGTCAGTCCAGGACACCCTGAATCCCAGGAAAACCCTATAGGATGAGATTTACCCAACCTAAATAACATCTGGCACCCCAGCTCTCCAGCAGCCCTCTCCAGGCCGTGATGTGGCAGGGAAGACAGTGGCAAATAGGAACTTACAGGTCTGATAGCCACAGGGAGAGAAAGGGAAAGCATGGAAACTCTGTTGGCTGGGCCCTGAAGCAGAGGAACTGCCTTGTCTAGAGAGGTGGAGACAGTTCTGGAGCAAGTACATTTAGCCTGAGCCCCAAAACAAGAGGGCAAGTTAGCCCCCCCCCCCAAAAAAAAGAGGAGACTGAGGAAGTGGGGGCAAGGAAGAGCACGTGTAAAGACACAGACTCATGAGACAGAAAAGCAGGACAAAGGACTGAGGGCTGGCAGTGAGTCTGGGGAGCTGGTCAATTCCTTGGGGCCATTTGAGCCTTAACACTGGGACTTGGGACCTTATTCCAACGATATCAAAGAAAGTTAACGAAAGCTCTCAGCCAAAAAATAATGTGAACAATTTATGCTTTAAAAACAACTTCCCGGGCTGGAGAGATGGCTCAGTGGTCTAAAGCACCTACTTGAAACAAGCTTGGCAAAGCACAGGGACCGCGGTTCGATCCCCAGCACCACATGCCAGCCAGACCCGCCCCCTGGTGGGCTGAGCTGGCCACACACACACACAATAAATAAATGTAATAAATAAAAATAAATAAATAAATAAATAAATAAAATAAATAAAATAAAAAAATAAAAACAACTTCCCCTGCACATTACTCTAATAGGTGGTGGAACACACCTGCAATCTCAACACTCAAGAGGCTGAGGCAGGAGAATCATCATGAGTTGGAGGCCAGCCTGGGCTACATTGTGAGCACAAGACCGTTCTGAACTATACAGTGAGACCCTGACTCACAAAACAAAACAAATTTGCTCCGATAAAACTTGGACTTTGTGATTATCAATACAAACAGAATTGTGTTTTCATAAAGCTGTACTTGAAAAAAGTCAGTGGCACTTTTACTTTTGGCAGATGATTTAATATATTCATCCACTTGCAACATACACACATATACACAAACAAACACATATTTTCAAGAGAATTGAGATATAAAAGAGCAGTGTTATGAGACAGCAACCAAAAGACATCAGTTTTATATAGGGAGAGTATTATGAAACTATTAATGCCTTCTTCAAGTTTCTGTCTAAGCATTGTAGCATCATGAATCACACAACAAGAGGCCAGCCTTTGACAAACAGGAAACACAGCCCTCCAGAAAGTAAGAATTGAAGGGAACAGTCCTCAGATGCTGTGGCCAGGGGACGCTCACCTGTGAATGAGAGCTGGAGGGAGCAGGAAGAAGCAGCGACTCCACCATGGAAGGTCAGCAAGCCTTGCAAGCTTTGCTAACTTCAGTTTTCATCACAATAAAGCATTGAACAGAACTCCAGCTTTTTCCAGAACATTATCTATTTGCTTGCGGGTCAATGACCCAAAGGCCAGACAAAGCACAGTTCAGTGACAGGTGAGCAAAGGTTGAACACAGCCAAAGCAATAACCCCAAACCCAGAGTGCACACAGCAACCCCTCCAGGGGGTCAGCGGGCTCTGGAAAGTGCTGCTGAGCCTGGGGAAGAGGAGTAGGGCACAGGACTTGGCACATACCTGGCTCTTCTTTCTGTGAAACTACTTAAAACTACAAGACAGGGATACCTGTGGGCCTTCCCCCCTTGTCATGAAAGCTGGCCCCTGGGAGATCCTTAGGTTGCATGTCCATGGCTTTTCCAGCCCATCCCAAAAGTTCTGTGAAGACAGAGCCTGCAGTAGTGTCTTGTTAAAAATCAAGGGCCCAGGTGACCACTGTGCTCTGATCCAAATGATGAACCTCGGCCTCTGCTCTCCTGACAAAGCCAAGTGTACACAGAAATTAATGATTTTTAAAAGTTGACAGTATCAAACATTCCAGTGAACACAAAAAGCTTTTTCAAGGGCTCTGTGCTGCTCACACCCCTTTCTCTCCCTTCCTGTTGTTCAGCTTTCCATTGTTACCCAAATTCTCTCTCTCTTTTTTTTTTAATCTCTCTCCTTATGTAAACTAAGTCTTTGCTAAGTTCATCTAACTGTGGTCTTCAACAATGAGTAACAGCAGCTAAGGCTGGTAACGTCCTTGGTGACTGAGTTAAGAGTTTTATTTGTATCACTTTGGTCCTTTGGGCTTCTCAGCAGCCCCAGACACTGAGCACCACCATTATCATTACCATTTTAGGGTTAGGAAAAGTGAAGCACAGAGAGGTTAAGAAATGCAGTTGAGGTCTTCATACTAGTAAGGGAAGAAGGAAGAGACCGGTCTGCTGCCCTTCTTCCGCACCATGCTCTGAAATGCCAGGGAGGGGCCACCATGCTTCGCAAGTTTGCAGAAAGCAAAGTATAAGATGGCACTTTCTCAATGTTAAGTTTCCCTGACGTAAGTTTTCTTTAATATCAGCATCTAGTACTATTTGTCTCTATTGGATTCTCGATAGTGGATATATAATGACTCAATCCCAGTTTTATACATTACTATATGATTTAAAATCTCAATTTGTAGAGGCCAGCAAAGAAAGGCAAGATATCAGAAGTTGCATCATCTGCACTGGTGTGAAAAGCTCTGGGGATAAATTGACTTTTAAAAGAATGCAAATATAATTATATTGGGCTTGGCATCAATACAGACCACAAAACAGGACTTGGTTTCGCAGAAAACCAGAAAGACTTTTAGTCTTTCAGGTTCTTCCACTAACGACTAATCTGAAGACAACAATATGCAATATAGCAACCACTGTTGAATTCCTATCATTTTGTTTAGTGAAATTCTTTATCATTTCTAAAGTTTGTTACTATTTTTTTAGTCTCTCTAAAGGAAAACCAGCAACCAGGCATGGTGCATGCCTATAATCCTAACACTCAGGAGGTTGAGACAGGAGAATCGATTCAAGTTTGAGACCAGCATGGGGGCTATAAAAAGTGACTCCAAGTTCAGCTGGAAATGTATGGTGAGACCATGTCTTGGAAGGAAGGAAGGAAGGAAGGAAGGAAGGAAGGAAGGAAGGAGGAGAAGGAGAAGGAGAAGGAGGAGGGGAAGAGAGGGGGGAGAGAGAGAGGAGGAGGAGGAAAAAGAAGGAGGAAAAGGAAGAGGAGGGAAGAGAGAGGAGGGGAGGTGAGAGGAAGGGAGGGGAGGGGAGAGCAGAGCAGAGCAGAAAGGCAGCCGCATGGTTATGGGGTTGCAAGTTTGATTCTGAGGAGATCCCCAGTAGAAGTCTGCTGTTGTGGTGAATTTATCAACACCAGTCAGGGGGTAACAATGCTCAGAAGAAAGCCAGGCAGTGCGGCTCATGCAGCAAGGGTACACAGAAAGAACAAAGGCATTTGGGGAAGGGATGAGGAGCAGGTTCTGCTCACCCACTGGGGCTACTTGTGCCTAGCTGGGCTTCCTGGCCCAGGAAGTTCTAATTGCAGGGCAATTCCACGTTGCTGCCTATCCCTTAGGAGGCATGTAGGCCTGGTCATTGCATCTTTATCTTGAGGCTCGGCCTTCTCTGGTGGACCTCCAGCCACAGTTCTGATGTCTTTTTTGTTCTGCTGACTTCCTTGACAGCCCAGTCCAAGTCCCTGACTAAATATTAAATCCTAATTTAGCTGCCTATAATAATTTTATAGGTTTAAGAGTCAGAGGTATGTGGCATGAAAGAGAACACCCATTAGTTAATTTGTATGTATTAAACTTATGTAGTTTTAATTCCATAAGCTTAACTTTAAGGCTTAAACTTACATCATATATAAATTATATAACATATATAAGTTATGTCATAAATTAAGACAACTATTTATTTAACCAATCATAAACTGGTTACTGAAAACATAAACTAACATTTAATTCAACCTTTAAAACTCAGTTTTAGTAACCAAATTTTAATAGTGGAAAACACAAAAAGTTAAGTACATGTAATAACAAATCCTTATATTTCAATATTTAAGTTTAACCAAGAACATCTTCAATGAAAAACCCTTATTGTTTTGTACATAGAAAGTTTCACCAATGTAAGTTTAGCTTATTAAATAACTGTTGGGGTGCGGCATCACAACTCGACAAACCACTTATCAGCCCGAGCAAATTGTGGTCCAGGCAGCTGGATTTTTCAGCTACAGAGGGGAGTTTTGTCTAACAATTCCCCTTCTGAGGTGTCTCCACTTTAGTTATCTTAACAATTTTTTGAAATGATTTATTGTAACAGTTAATACTTTAAACTATTTGTATATCATCCTTGACCAAGAAAACATTCTTGGGGCCAGGGAGATGGCTCAGTGGAATAAGCATTTCCCTGGCAAGCACAAGGGCCTAAGTTCAATCCCTGGTTCCATCAAAAAAAGAAAAAAAAAAAAAAGAAAAAATTCTTAATTTATTGCCCACAAGCAAAAATAGACATTGCATTTATAATTTTTGACATCATCTCGGTTATTTGTAATGGCAAATGGCAGCAAGAGACACTCACAGGGGCCAAGAACAGGTCCAAGCAAGCTTTATTCAGCCAAACAGCATCCAACACTGCTATACCCCAATGGGGACTGCTGCCTCAAAGGACTTTGTACAGGGTTTCTATACTTTTACAAGTAACCATGGTAACCACATTACTTCACAGTAACAAATCCTCCAATCAACACAGCAACTACATCCCAGGGACTTCGGCAAAGAAGCAGTAAGATTTGCAATCCCTCACTGTGAGTTAGGCAGGATGCAGTTAAATTCTAGCTTGCCCCACAGTTTGTCTTATCTGTTTGTTCCTCCAGGTAACATCTTGTTCCCCTTTGTGTGGTTTTAAGGCTAACTAAAAGGGGAGGTGGTCAGGAGTGAGTTTATCTAGGAGTCATTCCCCTCTCAAGGACAGATTTTCCTTCTCAAGGACACATACAGCCCTTCCTAAGGTTGTGGCTCCTACTCCATAGCTTCTTCTGATGGTCCCTTTCATATTGACCCTGAGAGGTCCTGCAGTCTTACATCCCCCACAGGGACAGCATCATTCATTTGGGTTGTTACAGTCTGTCCCCCTAAGGTTTCAGGGCAAAGGTAAAACACACTTGTTACTGTCTCCTCATTGCTGTCTCAATTTTGTAATGGGCCAACTCACATTTTAGACTATAAATGTAAATCTTGTGTTTTCTGTTGTGTAATAATGTATACTCACCACTTTTCTAAGTTGTTTAGTAACTAGTGGCTCTTTCTTAGTGTTAGCTAAGATAAAATTCCTACCTCATCAATTCCTATAAACAAAGTTAGCTTACAGAGATGAGCTCAAAAGGAAATTAAATGGGCTTTAACTTCTTGTAACCTCGGGCTGTGCAAGGCTGCATGAAAGTATTCAGGTGCAAGATAACCAGAAACTAAAAGAAAGCCCCAGGAAATTGAGTTTGAGTAGTGGTCACAATGACCCTAAAAGCATTATTGTGTGTCAGACAATGAATTTGTTTACCAAATAGAATGTGGTTCCAGGTTTTAAACCCGCCCCGCCACACACACACACACACACTTCCTGGGCTAGCTGCCTTTCAGTCTTCTCCTGGTTGAGAGCTGGTAGGGGGCCCTGAGCTTAGTAATAAACGGCTTTCCAAATTCCAATCTGGCTGATCTGGTTCCTATTCTGAGCGACCTATAACAAATTTAGCCTCTCTTTTTCCAGGAAACATGAAGGAAATTAACCTCTGTTAGGACTCGCCCACCAGCTAGGGAAGGTTCTTCCTTCTGAATTTTAATTAGCACTGTGTCTCCTGGTTCAAAAGAATAGACAGGAGAATAAATTGGGATGGGGTGTCACTGTGACACAGTCCGTTGGAGCTTCTGTAAAGTCTGTTGCAAGGCTTTCCTCTGTTGGCACGGCCCAAAGTCCCCATCTCCTGCACTCCTTCCAAAATGGGCAGAAGTAGGAGAGGCCTCCCAAACACAATCTCAAATGGAGTTAGCCCGTCCTGTAAAGGATACAACAAGATCACACAGTAGGACCACTGGAAGCATAACCACCCAGCTCACCACAGATTCTCAGCAGAGCATAGCTTTTATTTTAGCCCCAGGGCTTCTGAAAGCCACTCGAGGCACAGAAGCAAGTCCATTATCTGCACCTACCATCACAGGGAGGTTCATCATGGGGATGTACTGGGTAATAATTAACTTCATCAGGACTTTTAATGCCCCATTAGACATCTCAGTCCTTATGAGGAGTTGCCTCCACCCCGCCTGTGTAGGTGTATGTGAGAACCAACAAATACTATTGTTTTCACTAGTAGGCTTGATTTCAATAAAGTCCACTTTGATGTCCTCAAATAGCACAGTTCCTTGCCTGGTTGCTGCTGTGAGCAAGAAACTCCAAGACCCAAGTGAAAGCAGTTAGCTTTGCTTTCTGAGTCTACGTTCAAGAGGCAAAGCCTCAGACCAGACAGTGTGCTGCATGGTGATGACCACCCTTTCTGCCCTCTGCACCCCACTGATTACCATGTTATTGCCATTGGAAAACAGGGTCAGGTCAGGGCTCTGGAGGACTGTATCCTGTAGGTCCAGCCTGGCTCCACACAATTGTGTTCAGGTGGCTCCATGGACATCAGCAAAAAAGAGGTAGGGATAAGGTTCTGAATAGTTTTTGTTTTGCTGTGGTTTTAATGATTAGTAAGGAATCCTCTAACAGAGTCCCTTAGTAGGGAGCTGGGCTGGTTTCCTACAGCCATTTACCACCAGGTCCCCTCAGTAGGGTCTCTACTACATGCGGAACAAACACAATTAGCTTTTTCTCAAAGTCGGTTTATCATTTTGTTTTTGTTTGTTTAC